CCTTGCAATGACATGGTGCTGAGCAATCTCAAGGCTCACGGGCACTCTCTGTGACTGTGACTGATGAACTTAAACCTAGGGAATGCATGACGGCCAACTTCCAAAAAGCTCGTAACAGAGACTATGTGAGGGAGGAGGAGGAGGAGGAGGAGGAGGAGGAGGAGGAGGAGGGAGTCAAGCCATGAGGAATTAAGGAAAAGTTTTGTTGAATCACAGCTTGTTATCTGCTATTTTTGCCTTAGTCTACCATGATGGCAATTGAGCCTACTGGTGATATTTCAGACCAAACTACCTCATCCATTCTGTTAAGTGTCTATGGCACATCACTTCAGCCATCTGCACTTCAGATGTCTTTCTAAAAAGTGGGGACAATGACATTTCCCCAAGGGGAACTGGGGCTGTGAGCTTCCACACATACATCAATCACTCAGGAGACTGACTAGTATGAAATAACACAAAACAGTAACTGGTTGTAATAACTGCATTTATACACCAGTGATTATGATTTTAATTATTAGTCTCATTGTAATGAGAACAGTTGGCTGACAAAGGACAGACCCAAGGAAATTCCCAGCATTATTTGCAAAACATCACTGAAGAGGTACATGTTCAATGTGGGCGTGCTAGCATATGAAATTCCAGACAGTAAAATCTCTGAGTAAAGGGGTAAAAGGTTTATTATGAATTAATGTTTACTTGTGGGAGAATCCTTTAAAACAAGGCGGTAAGTCATCACAGTGAGCTACAAAACTAGGGTTCCGTATGCGGAAGGAAAAGGAAGAGAACCGATTGCTACACCCGTGTCGTGAGACACTGATCCCAGGAGGTGGGGACGAACTGGGGAAGGACAGACCAAAGGACACCACTCCAGTCGAGCGTGGTGAACCACGGAGGTGACTGGTGTTACTCAGGAGCAGAAATGACTCACCCAGCCCGGACGACCACTCACAGCAGCTGCTGCATTACAGCTGTCTGCCCAGCTGTGGCTGGGAGGCTCCTCCCTGGCAGCTAGCTCTCACGGTGCCAAAAGGTTGCTGGCAGAGAAAGGCCACCAATGTTTCTACCCAGCTGTGGACTCGACCGGTTACAACAACGACCTGCCAGATGCACTTGCTGACGCAATAGTAGCATGACTTTTGTGGGACTAATCAACTTTCTTTCTATTCCTTTCCATAGGAGGGGGCTCATGCCCCGCCTGTAAACCTGGTCAAGAATCTGTGGCTGGTGATGTCATAGGCCCCAGGAGAAAACGCACTACTGCTGTTTGGTAAATGGACACGAACTGCCTTCTAATGTTTGCGTTTATATCCACAGACTGGTTCTGCTCTCAGCCTTCACCAGAGGGGCGCCTTTTTGCAATGGTGGTGGTGAGTGCAGACTCACAACTCATCGAAGTACTGAGAGTCACTGGCTGGCATGCTTGGTCCACAAGCTATCTCTACCCCCCTCCAAGGCTGGAGAACACCCCGGGGGAGGGGCAGGAAGAATCTAAGCACCGGAGGTCCAGGAGGAGTGATGTGTAACAGCGTCTGGTCACGGCACTGCCCTTGTATTCCTGAACTCACCACGGCTGTGGTTACCTGCACCGGACTGCGCTGGTCACCTGCTACCGCGCATGGAGGAGGAGCCGATGAGGCCCATCCCTCACAGACTGTGGGGCTATGGGCAGCTAATGGGTGCTGGGGTGAAAGGGTGGCATCGACTGAAATGGGATTGCCCATGATTCATGACTAACCTCCACAGGTGCTCATGCAAGCAGGACAGGGAGGTGGGTGAGACACAGACGTGAAAATGACCGGAGTTCGGTGTACGCATGTATGAAACTGCCAAAGAATTGAAAAAAAGTCACAGAGCAGCAAAGGCAGAAGGGAGGGCCGGGATTTCTGAAGAGGAAGTTGGGGAGACGATGAAGCAGAGGCCAGACAGGATCGCGCTCCCAAGGCCAGATGAGACTGCCTCACACTCACTGCCTTCTCAGTCCTTTATCCCCCACAAAGTATGACACTTGGGTTGGACATCTGTTTGGAATTCAAGGCCAAACTTTTAACCTTGGACCTGCCAGAAACATGGTCGGTACAGAAACCTTTCGGACAGGAAGTCATCACCCACATCTATTTGGACCGATCCCTAATCGCACACATATCACTGATGCCTCGCTTTCAAGTCTACAGCTTAGCTAAAATGAGAGATCTGGGTTCCATTTCTCCAGAGCTAACCACTACCTCCCAGGCTGGGGGTTAAATGTGCACACCTGTTCTTTCGGCCAATCAAGCAGCTGGCTTGCACTGATTCTCATTCTCTCTCTCTCTCTCTCTCTCTCTCTCTCTCTCTCACACACACACACACACACACACACACACACACACACACACACACACACAAATCTCTCTCACATATACCTGTACAAGTCTATATCCTGTGCCTTCCTATCCCATCTTGCCAAAGGGTACAACATCTCTGTCGATCCGAGTGGGCTGCTGGCTAAGTGATGTGTGGTACAGGGAAGCTCGTGGCTTCCTTGGGAAACAGCTGTAAAGGCTAACCTGAGACTAACAAAATGTTTTTAGGGCACAAATGAGAAAAGCAACCTCATAGTCCTAGTGGAACATGGGCTTTTTCCTGGCTTTTCAGCCCGCCTCCCCCAAGAGCTGCCAATCTCTAGAAACAAATATCAACTAAGTGTGCTCTTAAGTGCAGCTCTCCAGAAGGAGAACCTCATACCCACTACCTCCTTTGCCAGGTCCCTGCCCTGGACTACTGCCCACCTCCCCTAATCGATTCTGGGCCACCTGACAAGACCGCTACCTACAGCCTCCATAACCCAAAGACCACAAAATTATTCAAACCAGCAAATTCTGACTCTGCCCTACCTCAGAGATTCTTTTCCACAGAGACTATGATGAAGGTCTTGTTCAGGGTCCCCGTCACCCTCACCTCCTGATGGATCAGGTGCTTCCCATTCGGCATGGCCAACCCTGTCCTGTTGGGAACCGTCTTTGTAGCGGTAACCGTCTCAATGGCTGGTGTCCCTGCACCTTAAGTGTTCACTCATCACACTATACAGCTCCAAGGAGGTCTGAGGATGGAGAAGACGCAGCAACTTGACACTTTCTCTTTTCCCACTTGAAACACATTCCTGCAGGCTGCAGGAATGTCTGTGACTATTACAGGGAGGCCTGCAGCTGCCTTTGCTCCAAAGTGATCCAAATTTAAGAATTCTGCTCACGCCGATGCTACGCATGGCCCTCAGCACAGCCTGATTCTGGAAAAAGGAGTCCGTTGGTTATTCAGCCACGTGCTTATGTATCGTTTGTTTCCTCTGCCCGCTGCTGTTCTAGAATTTCAGTCCTGGCTAGCCTCTCAACTGTTTCTCACTCCTGTCTCTCTCTGAAGCTCCCACACACATGCAAACACTGACAACACACACGGGACTCAAGTCCCTACCTGCAATTTTAGCAAGATAGGTTTTCAATCCCACTGTAAGCAACGCTTTTCTGGGCCAATGTGAAGTTCTTGCACACTTTTCCCTGGCTGCCTTTATTTTATCTGACACTAATTCAGTCTTGAATTAACTGAGCACAAGAATGAGAGAGGGAAACTAATGTTGGATTGGTCATTACTCCTGAGAATGCTTTACAAATGACAAAGACAAACAGTTGATTAATCCAACTGCTGCCCACAGAAGAGCTCAGCACGAGCCTCTATTGGAAGAACCAGGATGCATCAAACCATGCTTTCAAGTCTGTCTGTCTGCTAAGTGTGAAGCAAAGGTTGCCAGAGAAATTTTTATGGGTTATCAGTGGCTTTGTGAGGAATCAGTGTTAGCAGTACGGTTGATTTGTCCCACTTTTTCTGAGAAATGGTATCAACTTAGATCCCAGAACTGTGAACTAGATCTCAGACTCCTAGGAATCTGGAAGTGGGACCACGATGCCCAGCTTGGAGTGACTGTGCTCTTTAATGGAGGAGACAGACAGATCTCCCTGCATGAGACAGATCGACAATGTCTGCAGAGAGAAACCGCAATGAAACACCTGAGCAACTGGCAAAGGCGGGAAAAGCCAGGGTCCCTGCACCTCTGCTGCGCCACCCTGCCAGGAGGATGGCGGAGCAGGGAGGACGCTCTGTCCCTGCGGGGCTGGCCTGCGCTTCGCTGGAGTTCTGGCTTCCTCAGTGACACCCGCCCTGCCCCACCTCATCCCTTTTCACAGAGGGGACTTCCTTAATCACATCTTGGCCTTGGTTTCTCAGACAAAAACTAACACAAGTGACCCCAAGAATGGTGAAAGAGAGCAGGGGGGGAGGGGAGCATGTGGGGATTTAGGACTTGCCTGAGTACCACTCTGCGGGGGAGGGGAGGGACCGATGCCTAGCTGATAGGTAACAAGCAGTCCTTGCCATGCAGTATGATTCAGTTACTGAGGATTTCACTGGGTAACCTGGAAAACGTCCTGGTGGAGGGATGTGGCATGGTGGGGCCACCGTACAGACATCTGAAAGATACAGAGGCGACACCAGCCACAAAAGAGCAAGGCAGCCCGTGACAGCTGAGCTGTACTCCTGTCCCATGGAAAGTCAATGAAAGACTGAAAGCCGTGAATGAGCAGATCATGGCCAAGGATGAGAACCATAAAGCCTTGCTGGCAGGTAAAAGGGTGGGAAAGTCTGCCAGCCAAGACAGGAGCAGCATTTGGGGCCCAGCGGAGACACCTGGCATCCTGAAGACTCAGAGGGGACATGCAGGTAGATGTATAAGATGCTGCTGAGTCCAAACACCTTCCCCTGTAACAAGCTGGGGACTAGGCATAGACAGTGGCAGAACCCAGCCTCAGAAGGGCAGAGTCCAGTAAAAAAGAAAGACATCACTGGGCATCATGCTGATTAGTCAGAAAGGATGCGTGGTGGCTGATATGCTGGAGGTCTGTGTCTTCAAAGGGTGACAGATAAATTCTACAGAGAACCGTAGAATGTTGACCTTAGAATGTTGGATGGGATCCAGTAGTCGAGGCTGTGATGGGCTGTCCTCTGTGGTGGCTTGAAAGAAAATGGTCCCCAAAGGAATGGTACTATTAGAAGACGTGGCTTTGCTCAAGTAGGTGTGGTGTTGTTGGAGGAGGTGCGGTCACTGCAGAAGCCGGCTTTGAGGGCTCATGTATGCTCAAGCCATGCCCAGTGAGACAGACCACTTCCTGTTGCCTACAAGTGAAGATGCTCCATCTCCAGTACCTGGCCTACAGGCCACCACGTTCCCCACCATGATGATGATAATGGACTGAACCTCTGCACTGTAAGCCACCCAGTTAAATGTTTCCTTTATAAGAGTTGCTGTGTGCTGCAGGTCACAGGAAAATGTAATGGAATCCAGCTACTATCACAAAAGCTACTACTTCCAAAGGTCAAGCCATGGTTTGAGAAGTCTTGGTGATATTTTAGCGTTTGTGTATATATTAGCTGATTCCTACGATGACCTTCTTGTATGCTATGTGTGGTTCCAAGAACTTCTAACAGTGTAGTTATCTAAAATACCTACCAAGCATCCAAAGCCAAACGATCCTCTGACCTAAGGTAACACCCTTATGGAAACAACGCCTGTATCCTAGGCCAGGAGGATAGCTTTATTTCTTGTGCAATTTTAGCTGAGACCCTCCTTTCTTATACAGCCTTACTAACATTATAGTAAGTTATAGTGATTTTAGTGACTCTGCCATCACTTCAGAGAAGGCCCTCGGTACAAAGCTTCTGGTGTGTCACCAGGTCTTGTTAGAGACCACACAACACCAAGGGATTCCCAGAATGAGTGGGGGTTCTGTCAGCTGAGTTACCAATTTGAGCCAGCAACAGTGCACGAGATAGGGCTGCTCAAGTCAGAGCAGCACCCGAGACAGAGCACACAGGAGCCCTGGGAGCATCACGGTCAGGCCTCCCAGTCTCCACTGGAGTGGCAGACCCGGCTGATGGAGCGGAGGCCGCAGCCTGGTGCTCACAGTGGTGACTCAGCACGTGGGTGCTGGTCAGAACCAGCACAGCTGCAATGGGGACCGGTGATGGTGACGGTGATGGGAGACAGGAGAGGAGGAGCCGACAGGAGCTGCTGTGGGCAGTAACTGGCTTGTCCACCGCTGTGCAGAGAGAGTAGTCTGAGTTCAAAGGTTACCGTCAAGCCAAGTCGGGCTTCTTAAGCAGGTCGTGATTAAGGCACAAAGCCTCATGTTCTGCAAACTAACAAAATTAACCCCCCCCCATACACACAATGTCCCACAACGAGAGAGAAACTGAGCATGAAGCCAATGAAAGTGCCTGTCTGAGGCAATGGTTCCCACGATCTGGTCCAGTGGATTCCTGCACAATATCTCAGGAAGTGTGAGACTTTAAAATACGATAACTAAAAATTCTGAATTACAGAGCCTTTCTGGAAGGATAAAGGAAACCAGATGAACTCATCAACCGGGAAGTGGGCATGCCATCATCCCACCCAAGCCTCCACGCGGCCTACAAGAAGAGGGTTCCAGCCTGCTAGGTCCAGTCTATTCCTATGCTATAAACCTCAGGAGACAAACTGTTAGCTTGCTATAAGTGTCGGCTCCATCCCAGAACACATCCACACCATGTAGAATACTGGATGATACTCCCCTTCAACTACATTAGCAATGCAGTACCTAACACCTGAACGTTTCTTTTATGTTTCTTAAATTCTTTTTAAATTAGATTTTTTTAAAGTTGCTTATAATATTTAGTATTTTTTGTCTATTCCTGTATGGTAAAGCAATATTAATCTTGGTAGTATTAACTTTTAATCAAGTTATCTTTCCTGGGAATTAGAGCAGGCTGTTTCTTGGTTGTAGCTGTAAGATCAAGCCGGCCAGAAGGCCAACTAAAATTAAAAGACAGCAGTTTTTTTCAAATACTCCAAACAATAAAATAAGCTCCTAGGCTACAAGTAACTGTCAGTACAGGAGGAAACAGGCAATCAATCAAGCATTTTCAAAACTGTAAATTTCGGTTGTTTAAATGATCTGTTTCTCTCATTTGCTTTGCTAGCCCTCCAGTGTTCTTGATTATTTTAATTTTAGATTACTCCTGGGACCTGTTACATGTCATGACAAATACAGACCAAAAAATCAAATCTGGATGACACTGGCTAGCAGATTTTGAAAGGATCCAATAACTGTAGTTTGTTTCCTAGTGGCTTTACCAGTCATGACCATCTCCTGAGGAGTGGCTATTCTGCCCAGCACCCAGCCTCATCTACATCAGTTCCCAGGAATGAAACCTTCCTAGTGATGCAGACACTAACAATATTTAATAAGTTATATGCAGTCCTCACATGCACAAAATGGGATACATGGCCAATGGGGGGAACTGTGAGCTGAAGCCCCCCAAAAGCGCACCGGCCACTGAGCCTTCTGCAAGGCTGACTGACCAATCAGAACCTCACTGACTGCAGAGAGGTTGGAATACTGCAGGTCCAGAACCAGCTACAGTTTATCTTGTATGTACAATACACAACACACCTTCAGTCCCCTAAACAACCATCCCTTGTCTACTTCTGCGTCTGAGCTTCCATTCCGTGACTCACAGAGGAACCTCCTGAACAGATTAACTTAACAAAACCCTAGCTTTCATCACGCAAAGTCCAAGATGCCACCAAACAGCATCTGAAGTCACAGCCGAGACTTCCCAGCTCTGCTGTAACCCGGAGCCTAACATTTTCCATTTGAAAAATGCTTTGATTTATGACTGTCTTTGTTCTGTTACTATAAAAACATCACCAAACGATCACCATATTGGAACATATTATTTAAGATAACCTGAGTCTGTGTTCCTGGGCCAAGTCACTCATATTTCACTCTAGAACTGACCACCTCTTAACCCTTGTGAGGTGAGAGTTGTGTTTTTGGGCTGAGGGTTCCTTCATGATAAAAAAAAAAAAAAAAAAAAAAAAAGAATAGAGGGACTGTAACTCAACACAAGGGCACACACCAACACCTCAGCCAGCACGGCACCCAATGGAGAAAACACCAACACCTTGGCCAGCATGGCACCCAATGAAGAAAACACCAACACCTTGGCCAGCATGGCACCCAATGGAGAAAACATTAGCACCTTGGCCAGCATGGCACCCAATGGAGAAAACACCAACACCTCGGCCAGCATGGCACCCAATGGAGAAAACATCAATGCCTTGGCCAGCATGGCACCCAATAGAGAAAACACCAACACCTTGGCCAGCATGGCACCCAATGGAGAAAACATCAGCACCTTGGCCAGCACGGCACCCAATGGAGAAAACATCAACGCCTTGGCCAGCATAGCACCCAATGGAGAAAACATCAGCACCTCTCCACTAAGATCACTGGAAGACTTCACTACAGTGCTTAACGTCTTTGCTACAGCAGTGAAACAAGAGAGAGAAAACAAAGGGTTAAAACAGGGAGGAAGGATCGAGGCTGCCCCTATTTGTAGATGATATGATGCTTTACACAAGCAACTCAAAGGCCCCATCCATTTGCAAGAGCGGGCAGGGCTGACAATTCTGTCTTTTCTATTCCTGATGGGCTGGTGACCTTTAGTCTGATTGCTGCATGCCAGGCAATTAAGACTGCAGCATGTGGCAGAGCTAAATTGGGTGGTACAGAGTGCATTATACACACTGAACTAGGTTTGTACGTGCTGCAGATGTTGGCTTTCTAATTACATGAACTTGTAACTCACCTCGGAAGACAAGCGGTCCCAGCGGCATCCTTGTGGTCACACTGCGAGTGACATGATGCTGACCAGAGCCACTCTGCTTTTCACCTAAGGGTGCCCTTTCTATTGCAAGGGTCAGGACTCAGTCTAGATCTATTTGCCTCTGTGTGACGGTACCCTGGGTGGAGTCAAGAGCCTCCTGCTATCTCCCAGGAGACAGCCATCTGTCTAGCTCTACCTTCCCACAGTCAAAGCCAGGACTTGGCTTCCTGAGCTCCCACTGGTCACATGGTCCTCTGCAGTCATGCTGCCTGAGCATATCCCCTCTGTTACACTTTAGAGAAATGCAATCTGAGGGGCAGAGGGACCATAAAGATCACACTCACCAAAGAACTGCACTGTGCTAACCGGTTCCCTCTGCTGCCCGCAGTGTGGTCTGATGTCGGCTTGGGAACTGGAGAGGCCCTTGACTTCCAATGCAGCGCTCCCATTTTCTCTCCTTCCCTCCCAATTTAGCTCTCATTTGCCATGAACATCAACTCCAGCATGTGAAAGATAAGCTGGCTACATTTCTACTGTTCCGTTTGTATCCGAGGTTTTATCTCACTCACGGACGACCAGCCTGGATCCTCACCTCCCCACACTGCCTTGTAGCTGACTGTGTGCATGACCTAAGATTCCTGTCTCACTCTCTTCTGCACTCTACACACACACACACACACACACACACACACACACACACACACACACACGATTAGCTGTTGGCTGGCCACTGTAGAGATGTAGATATTTGTGCCATAGCCTACACTTGCTCAGGCCAGAGGAATAGTCCCGAGTCTCTGTGGGCCAGGATGCAGTGTGGCCCTTTGTGACACTAATTCTATTCGGTAACTGTGAAGAAACTGAGTGTGCAAGACCAGAATGCACAGAGTCACTAAGGAGACTCAGTGAAACGCTGTGGCCAGGCCAAGGGAAAGTGCGATTTCCCACAGGAGGAGGAAGAAACATCTTGCTCTCCTTCAGTACCCCATGATATCTATTCTCCTTTCAAGGCCCAGCACACGTCAAATGTATGTATTTCTTGACTAAAAAGAGAGATGTATGACTAGGTGTGCATGTCAACAGGTATGTTTAGAGTGATAACAATTATTTATAGGAATTATTTCAAAAGTTTAATAATAAAAACATTCCTGTGTAGGTTTGTCCTTCAGGTTCCAATTCATAGAAATCAAGAGCCACATTTCAAATGTCTGAATGCTGCTGCTGAGCTACAGATGACAGGCAACCCCCAACGGTTAAAAAGCAACGAAGAAACCACAAGCCAGACACGTGCTGAGGGCTGCGCTGGTCCGCAGGCATGGCTGAAGAGACGTAACAGAAGAGGGAAGGAAGTTCCATCCAGGAAACACAAATGGCCGGCAAACAGGAGGGCAAACGAGGGTCCTTCCCCCGAAATAAAAACAGCAGATGTCAATCAACCAAGACCTTTCCCTTGGGAGGCCAGTAAACTGACAATCCAGCCTGCACCTCCCACCGCAGCCCTAAATGATGGGCTCCTTGGTACGGCTGCCACTTCCATCCTAGAGGGGTCCAGATGGTCCACAGAAGCCCAGATCAGCCCAGATCAGGCATGGCTGCCGGGAGCCCTGGCTCTGAATTCTGGACCTCTGCATCGTAGCTGCCACAACACCTGTCACGGCTTCTACTGCGGCTGAGGATTCCACCGAGCGTGTGAGTGTACAGGCCGTCCTGAGGATCGATCTAGGCTATCATTCTGACAGCACAGAAAAGCCCCTTGCAGGCACCATCACTTCTGAAGTTGTTATAGCAACCACCAGGGTGGTCTTAATTCCTCTCTTAGGGTTTCTGTTGCTGTGATAAAACACCACAACCCCAAGCATCTTAGTGGGGAAAGGATTCATTTCAGCTTACAGTTCCACATCATAGTCCATCACTGAAGGAAGTCAGGGTAGGAACTCAAACAGGGAAGGAGCCTGGAGACAGGAACTGAGAGGAGGCCATGGAAGAGTGCTGCTTACTGGCTTGCTCAGTCTGCCTTTGTGTACAACACAGGACCACCAGCCCAGGGCCAGCCCCATTCACAGTGAGCTGGGCCCTTCCACATCAATCATCTGTCGGGGAATATTATTTTTAGGTGTGTTACTTTTGTTTATGTTGCATTTGTTTAACCCTGTGAAGCTGTGTTACTGTGCCTGTCTAAAACACCTGATGGTCTAATAAAGAACTGAATGGCCAATAGCGAGGCAGGAGAAAGGATGGGCGGGGCTGGCAGGCAGAGAGAATAAACAGAAGGAGAAATCTGGGAGAGGAAGATCTAGGAGCAAGAGAGGGAGGAGGACATCAGGAGCCAGCCACCCAGCTACACAGCCAGCAACGGAGTAAGAAAGAAAGATAAACAAAAATTGAGAAAGGTAAAAGTCCAGAGGCAAAGGACAGACGAGTTAATTTACAGTTAAGGAAAGCTGGTAAGGAACAAGAAGCTAAGGCCGGGCATTCATAATTAAGAATGAGCCTCCGTGTGTGATTTATTTGGGAGCTGGGTGGCGGGCCCCTAAAGAGTAAGAAAACAACAAACGACAATCATCAGTCAAGAAAAGCTCCCCACGGGCTCGCCACAGGCCAGTCTGACAGGGGAGGTCTCTCAACTGCGTGATGTCAGGTTGAACTAAAGCTGTCCTGGCTGTTTCCTTCAGCCCTGTGTGCAGTGGCCCCTCTGCAAGTGCCCTGGACACGGCCTCGGCACCCCAGCTAGCTCCACCCACACCGCAGCCATTTCAGGTTTCCTAACTCTGGTCTGTGACCCGCACCCCCATCTATGACAGCCAGGGTAGGTAAGCCCAATGTGCAGGCTGGCCTGGCCATCCAGGGCGTCCACAGTGAGGCAGCAGCCTGCGCATGAGCCCACCCTTTACGTCTATAGAAGCAGCATCCATCTTGTCCTCACCGGGCCAGTGTCAGACCTCTGCTCCAAGCAGAGTGTCTTATGTAAACCCCAGTATAGCCATGTTCTGATGGTTTTATCACCTGCTCGTGTCTGCGTCAGGGACTGAGTGGGCTGAGTTCCTTTCACCGAGAGCTGGTAACACCAGGAGCTACTGGCTTTGAAAATGCCAAGCAGGCAAAGAGTTGTGAAGAGAGCTGCCAGGAGCTCCCGGCTCTGGCTGGGGACAGCGACAGAGCTGCTAAGAGGGCGGCCAAGAGCAGCCGTCAACACGAGCTGCTGACAGCTGCTGGAGATGGGAGCTGAGAGCCGCTGACACGCGAAGCTCAAGGCTGGAACACTTAAGAAGATGGACTCTGCGTTGGCAAGACTTCGACCCAATCTAAGGAAAAGAAGAGCAGCTGATTGACACCATTTAAACCTGTCTACGCCACACTCAGGATTAATGTGTGCACCGCCACACTATCCACCACACCGACACTCGGAGGGAAGGGCACGCTGTGTGTGCACCACTGCACTATTCCAAACATCACACCGAGCACTCGGAGGGAAGGGCACTCGGAGGGAAGGGCACACTGCCACAGGCTTTTATAAAATGCCTAAATGCCCTACCCAGGCTAAAGTAACTGACTTATTTCAAGTGACTTAGGAATAATTCTGGAATCATCCACAGCCACTAGACAGGTCACATAACTATTCCAAGCCGTTGGGACCAGAACTCAAATTTCCTCACCTCCATACTGCAAAACTTCATAAAAACGAGTAAAGATTTGGGAAGCACTAAGCCATAATATGTGACTTATAGTGCTATACAATATGACTCAAATGATAAACACCATACAAACATACATGTGCGCACGCGCGCACACACGGGCACACACACGGGCACACTAATGAATATGCACACGTGAGTGCGCACATGCACACATTCCCCACAAGCACACACACAAGCACACGCATACATGCACGCTTGCTTGTACATGTGCTCAAACATACACACACACACATTTAGCAGACAGTGTCTGCTGACATTCAGCATCCATTCCTATCCCCAGTCCTCTTGTTAGAAATGAGTTGCTATGGTCCATCTTCATGAGGCGCACTGAGACTTCATCAGCATTACAGGTGCTGAGGGAGCAGCCCCTTCCCCCCGCTGTTGGCCCCTGCCTGTCTCGGAACTCAGAGAGTCGCAGGCTGGATGCTCTGTGACAGAGCACACAATTAGAAACGGAGGCAGCCGCAAGCCCTCTGCGGCCTAAACCAACAGGGTGGGGCTGTAGAAGGGTCAGGTCTTGGGCTGTGGGGAGAAGGACAGAGATGTCCAGGGATGTAAAAACCACTGTCCTGTGCTGCACTACAAGCCAGCTGTTTTCTCTTTTTCTGTTCCTCTCTCTCGGCAGGGGGGAGTTACAGACTGAGCTGCTGTCACGAGTGTCTAGACTTTGTTATCTTCTCATCCTTCCCTACTTCACAGACTGGAAGGAGACTTGGTTTCTTTCTTCCCGAGTCCTCTGATTTCCATTCCTGCTTCATTGTGCTCCCAGATCTCCGGGCCACCTTGGCGTGTTCCCAACCTCAGGTAAAGGTTCCCAACATTTACAGTTACTAACGAGTTCAGTATTAGCTACAGGGTTTTCACGGACACCTTTACCACGTTCTGGAAGGATTTTCTTTTCCTGTTTTTGAAAATGTTTCTTACATCCCTGATTTTCTGAGACCTTACCAATTATGAATTTTATCATTACACGAAATGATGAGTATTGCTAGATGCAGCTACATAAACGACCACAGGAGTTTAAAATACTCTGCTGATGATTCTGTTAATATTGTGAATCATGCTGATTTCTAAACACTGTCAGATTCCTGGGCCTCTGCAGTAAACAGCACTTGGCATCCCATATTTTCCTTTTCACACTAATGAAATCAAGTGCTCAGGATGTTTTTGTTACCAGGAGTCCTTAGTATCGGACTAATTGAGAATGCACAGCCAGGATGTCTCCTTTCATCACTGGAGTTCTGCAATCAGCAAGAGCACCTTTGATTACATTTGGATAGAGGATGAATGGTCTGTTAGTCAGGACCACCTTACAAGGAGTGGGCACAGAACTGGAAGAAAAAGTCCCGGGCATGTCCGATCTTTTGACACTGTGACACAACTCTGTCATGTACATGGGTCATTCTTGAGAACTATATAGTTCAATGAAGGGGGGGGGGCAGTGCTGGAGAGATGGCTCAGCAGTTAAGGGCACTGGCTGCTCTTCCAGAGGACCCGGGTTCAATTCCCAGCACCTGCATGGCAGCCTTTTGCCAGGGGATCTGATGCCCTCTTCTGACCTCTGCAGGCACAGCATGCACATAGTACAGATAGACACAAACATACAGAAAAACACTCATACACATAAAATAAAAATAAAATCTCATTTAAAAAAATCTCATGGGGGGAAATAAGAATAGCTGTGTAATAAGATGTAAACCAGATAGTCATGTTTCTTGCTTCACAGGAAAATGAAATGAATCTATGCAGCCATAGTCCTTCTCTTTTAACATCCTGAAGCATGGTTAGAATCAAAGGCCTTTAGTTATTAGCAGTACGTTAAATTACACTGTCATAAATATCCAAAGCCATCACTATCCTTTATGCCTTTCTATTTTCAGTTTCATTTCTGGATGGCGCGGTTGTTGAACCTGAGCGGCCGTGACGCTAGGCGGCTGGCACTCCTACCATGCAGGTTGACTTGTGGGCTGCAGAGGTCTCGGCAGCATCACCGCCCCGGCTCAGGTGTCAGCAGGGACGGCGAGCGGGATCAGACCTAGACGGGAAAATAAAGGAACTCGTTAATAACAGTAGCCGAGACATTCTCACGTCTTCACCTAAGCCCAGAGTTCAGATTTTACAACTCAACAATTTCACCAAGGGAGCCCTAATCCCAGAACAACTAATTTTTTTAAATTAGTTTAAGCAAAGATCTAATACAGTACATAAAGCTTTATTTAGCTCAGCTTCCTATTCTGGAAGAAATTCTAGAAGTAACACCAAGGATTCATAGTTAATAAGAGTTTTCTGCCTAATAAGGGCAGAAAAGCTGTCAATTGTATTCTAAGCACCTGCAGCGAAGTGATTTGTTTTGTTCATCCAACAGTAAATTATTTTAGGCATTGTTACCGCCTCTACAGAATTAGTCAAGTAATATTGATCATTCCTGTAAGGACCGTTCATTTTTCCCAACAATATTTGTGTTTAATTAGAATCTTGATAATTGTGTTACAAACATTTCAATGGTGAAAAACATGGAGATAAACACCAAAAAAGACAAGTCAGTCCCTTTTAGACACTAAACACATAAAACCATTGAGAAACGACTGCTCACAAGAGAGTCAGAATGAGAAACGCATGGGGGATTCTGTTGCAAAATCAGTTCGTGTGAGACATGGAGAACAAGCAAGCCTAGAAGTCGGACGCACCTGCCAAACCGCCTCTTAGCGGTCACCAGGAAAGCCTGGGGCAGGCGGTCCAGGCACAGGGGATAGTGGAAATGGTACAGGTTCTGAACAGATCAAAGCAGCTTCAGTCTTCCAGAAGAATCATCTGAACCTGCCTCGGTTACACAGGTTCAAAAGACTGAACCAGCACGGCGAAGCCGGCCACCATCCTTCTGAGAACCCGTTTAAAAGTCAGCTGTGTCGCTTGCTATTGATTTTGAAGAGCGAAAGAGGAAACCGGGCACTGAGGAGATGGCTGGGTGGTTAGGAAGCCTGCCTACTGCTCTTGCGGAGGGCCTGAGTTCAGTTCCACGAGCCACGCGAGGCAGCTCACAACGGACTGTAACAACTCTAGCTCATGGTCTGAATCAGAAACACCATTCCCCCAATCCGACTCATGTGTTTGAATAGTTGGTCCCCAATAGGTGGCGCTCTTTGGGAAGGTTATGATACCTTTAGGAAGCACATTGTTGAGGTGGGTTTTGAGGGTTTATGACCTCCCCTCGCTTCCTGTTTCCTGTCCCTGCTTCCCATGTATGGTCAAGATATGATCTCCCAGCTTCCTGTTCCTGCGCCATGCCAATACCTTCTCCACCATGGACTCTGGCTCTGGGATGGTAAGCCAAAATAAATTCCTTCTACCAGTTGTTCTAGCCATGGCATTTTATCACAGCGACAAAAAAGCAGCTAATCCGCCAATACTGTTAGGCTCACTTTAGAAATGGGTACATCTAACTGCACCTCAGGGAAGGAAAGTGTCCAGTGTCCTGGTTTCCGAGTAATCAGTTATCCCCAGGCCTTGCCAACCTGCGTGAAGTCACCAAAGCACCGCTTTTACGACCAGCCGCCATCTGGTGATGGCTGCGGTCAGGACCATTCTAGAACCAACAGCACACACGGGTCCGACTTAGTCCTCGAAGCAGGCAGAGCCTCCACTGCAGTGAAGAAGCGGCGCGTCAGGAGGGGACCTGTCCAGGACCACACAGGACAAGCAAGCAGCCGGCTGACTGACCGTGGCTGACACAGCATCCTGTTACTAACTAGATCGTGTGGTCTCTCTTCCGATACACACACATGCGGTTTTCTTCCCTGCAAAGCTGCTAACGTTTCTAATACGGGCCAGGAACCACAAAAGTCTTTGAGAATTAACTAGATAGTGTTAGTCATCAAAGCTATTACATGTGAAACCCAGCACAGCTACCAAGAGGTGAAATCCTGGTGCTGGAGAGATGGCTCAGTGGTTAAGAACATTGGTTGCTCTTCCAATGTTTGAGTGCCAGCACCCATATGGCAGTTCACAACCATCTGTAACTCGAGTTCCGGAGGATCTACTGTCCTCTTCTGACCCCCACATGAACAGCATGTATGTATGTATGTATGTATGTATGTATGTATGTATGTATGTGATGTACATACATACATGCAGGCAAAATAGTCATACACTAAAATGAGAAAATCTAAAGACAATTTTTTTTTTCTTTTTTCCTTTTTGGTTTTTCAAGACGAGGTTTTTCTGTGTACAGGCCAGGCTGTCCTGGCCCTTGCTCTGTAGACCAGGCGGGCCTTGAACTCACAGAGATCTGCCTGCCTCTGCCTTCCTGCCAAGATTAAAGGCGTGTGCCACCACCAACTGGCTCTAAAGATACATTTTTAAAGAGGTGAAATCTTGCCAGCTCAGGGCACAGGTTTACAGAGAGCTCCATGGTTCCAGCTCTTCTCCTGCCCAAGGTTAACCCAGCAGCCCTATGTGGCTACCATCCAGGAGCAGACTATAGCTGCAACACCCTCCTCCCCCGCCCCCGCCAGTTCCTGCCCATCATGTTCCTCCGTCAGGAGCACCATCTCAGTTCTAGCTTCCAGGTACCCAAATCATCTCTGCCCTTCAGAATGCAACCTATCTCTCATTCACGTCCACACTACACCCCTCAGTCAATACATTTGCAGTTACAGGTCAGACAGCGTGAGTTCCCACTTTGCAATGGCCAAAGCCCCATCCTGCCTACCAAAGCTTTCCTCAGCAGACCTGAAGAAGCAAGTGAGGTTTCAGGTAACCAGCACGTTACAGGTTTCAGCGGTCCAAACCAGCACAGGGCAGCACAGGGCAGGGGCCGCCATCCAGAGGGAGGCAGCGGAAGGACTATGGATGTAGAAACTGACTTTGAGTCACAATTCAGATGGCTGGTGATACAGCCTCACACTAAGATGCCGGAGAAGTTCACAGGGGATAAAGTGGGAGACGCACGTCACGGTCAGAAGTGGAACTGGGGGGTCGAGGAATACCCTAAGGTAGCCTGACCACCTAAGCTCCTTGCCATGAGAGAAATGCTCCAGAGAATAATGTTCAGTCGGACAGCCTCCAGGGACCTGGAACACTGGCCTGGGTGCCAAAAATCCAGCTAGTGTGGCGGAGAGACTTAGTGTTATATTTAATTAATGTTAACGTAGGCAATAATATGAAGCAACTGGCCACCGTGTCAAACAGTACCACCCTGGGAGTTCTGGCTCAGAGAGCTGGACAGACGCTCCTATTACAAGTATCTAAGAAAGAAATACTGCGAAGAACAGCATACATACGCTCAAGTGTTCACTGACTCCAAGAACAAGCAAATCAATAGTTAAAGGGGTGGTCTTTGTGGAGCCACACCCACTTCCAAAATCCCATCAAAGATGTATCTACCCTTGGCCGTTTGGGTTCTGATCAGCGGCCTCAACACGGCAGCATCCAAACGCACTCTGTTGTCTCCAGGTAATTGTCAAATGTTGCCACCAGGTAAAAATCACTTATCGTAAGGACATCGTGAAGCCATAGTGAGTCACAGCTTTGGATAAATAACCACCTAGTTTTGTTGTTGTTATTGCTTTCAAGTTTTGTCCTAAAAGCAAGAGAGGAGAGAGGACCAGACATCTTTTATGATAACGAACATGAGTTCAGGTAACTTCAAATGCATTTTAGACCATTTACGGCAACAGCAGCAGTCCAAATTACCTTCAGTTCACATTTCTCAGAGCCCAGCATGAAAGGCGACTGTACTACGCATGCTCGGTAAGTCTTCTACGGGCATCTTCCAAAGCCAATGACAATCTAGCATTCTCTGGAACCAGTCTGCTGATCTCACTTGCTCATGACATTTAAAGTCAATATGAAATAAGGAATTCTGTGATATGAAAGTGCTTCACATGCAAACAGACTGTGTCTAAACTGCTCACTGTTAATCTGCCCAGACTCCCCTAATCTGACTGCACTAAACCTGATGGCTATTTTGGTCCATGCCATGGCTCTTAAGCCTGCCGATCCTAGTTCCACAGAACTCAGAAGCTGACACACACACGACTCACATGTGGCCCCTCCTGGTGCGGCCGTTTGCTGGCTTCCTTCCCTTGTTCCACTCCCTTAACTAGACTCCATTTCTATCTACCCGATCAGGCCAGCAGCATCCTTGACTGTTCACAATGAAGTTCTGTTTGCAACCCCCTGCTCAATCCTATAAAACGCGTGGCCACTATTCGTGTTGGAAAAGCACACTTCGTAAAACATGAAACACGACATTTCAAGGGACTGGGGACATAGTTCAGCACAGGGAAGAGAAAGGAAGGACAGAAGGAGAGAAAGAGAGAGGAGGGGGAGGAAGGGAAGGGGAGGGAGAGGGGGGGGTCATGAAGCATATGTCTGGCACCAACAGCAGCAGCTCTGGTGTTCTCTCTGTGTTTCCTGGAGTTTAGTTCCCACTGCATTACACGCCGACACCTTTTTCAGCAGAAGCAGTAGGACCGCGTTTACCTGGCCCCACAACTCAATACAACATATACCTGGACTGTTAAGAGGATGGGGGATCCACTGTTGAGTAACAAGAGACGGACGGTCCTTGCCCTCACAAGTCTTTACTGAACTGGTAGGAGTACACAGATAAATATAAAGCAGTGCTGGAAGAGATAGTGGAGTAAGTTAAAATAAAAACACGAGGTGGCATTCATCAACTGTAGCGCAAATCACACTGCCAGCTAGTATTTTCGCTTCTGAAAATTCCTTTTGGATTTATTTATGTGCATGAATGTTTTGCCTGCACGTATGTATGCACACCACAATTGTGCATGGTGCCCTTGGAGGTTAGCAGAGGATGCAGGAAGTTAGGATGGCTGTGAGCCTGATATGATATGAAGGAAGGAAAATCAATCCCTGCCATAGTATGACTTTGCAGAAACTCAGGACTGGAACGTGTGTTTGACCACGCTAACAGTGAGTGCCTGGTGGAAAATATTGAAAGGATGACCATGGAAGGCTACTATTTTGGACTCAACTCCAGTAGGCCT